TAGTATCTAGGGAACCCAAAGAACTAAATAATGAAATAGGAAAACATCTGGAGAAACTTGTGAAGGAGAGAGAGAAATGTTCTTTACCTTAAAAGCTATCCTAGAAGAACTGATATGATGGTTGTGGAGAACAGAATGAAGGTGAATTCAGGTTGAAGAGTGAATAAATACACAAACTGGGTGACATAGTACCTATGGGTGGCTATGGTTATGACAACCCAGTTCTATGTCAAGTGTCATTTGATGGGACTGGTCAAAGAAGAATTAAAGAAAATAGATCTCAGGAGCAGAGGTGACACAAGATCCAGTGATGGAATTCAATTGACTATTCAAAGGTATGGTGAAGAAGGTTTTAGAAAAAGAGGTCTCTGAACAGCATTAAATTTGCAGATAACTGTGAAAAGGCTGAAGATACATGGAAACATGTAAGCCAAAATTTAAGATGAAAAAAAAAAAATTGGCTATTGATGAGGGAGCTATTGATGAGACTATTGATATGACAGGATGTTTTGATGGTCAGCATTTCTTTCCTAAGAAGAGGTAAGAGAAATGAAGAGAAGAAAGAGTAATGAAACAGCGTCACAGGAAAGGAAGATGGAAGAAAGATAAGAAAGGAACCTAGAACTGGAAAAATGCTGAGGTGAGATAAGGCAACTGTTAGAGATATTTAAGAAAAGACAAAAGGAAAAAAAGGAGGTAAATATCAGTCTCTCGAGGAAAGTTTTGTGCCAGTTTATGTCTTTGGAAGGTATGTGCAGATAATTCCAGGGTAGAGGCTCACCTAATTGATGAGACCATTAAATTGAAAGCTGGAGAAAGAAGACACAGATAACAATGCTGTTAACAGGGTGTACTGATTGTGTTAGAAGACTGGTGTAACTGCCTAGCACATGGCTAAAGAACTAGGTATAAGCAATAAGAACTAACTGTATTGCTGGAGAAATACTGTGGCTACTGTAGCTAGAATTAGATTGAGTTCTAACAATTTTCCTCATCAATTGTAAAAATGCTGTATTGGCAATATAGTGGAGACTGACTTTAGAACTCCTCTTTGTATCTGAGTATGGAGAAAGTTCTTTGTCATGCTGAAAAGACATATGTTATCAGAAGTGGCCACTGAGAGAATGTTTAACCCAAATTTGTACTGAGGAAGAAATACTCCTTATTGTGGCTGCTAAATGGTTCCTGTGGTGGCAGCAGATGCATTCCCTCCTCGTTGGGGCAATGAAAAGATGTGATTCTATTTCAATGATGTTTTTGATAGATGGAGAAGGCTTTGAACTGTGTTTGGAAGATGATCATAGGGAATAAACCCAAATCCACTTATGAGTTTGTGGAGTTTCGAGGTAAAAATTAAGCAACTAGGCATTTCTATCTCAAAAACACCAACATTAACATACCTGCTTAACAAAGAACACACAATTGCAGGTTGATGTGAATCCAGAGAAACCTTTAGTTTGTTTACATAACAGTGGAAAACTGTCTGGAATTTGTACCTGTAAGTCAAGGCAGAAAATGTTACAGGGAAGTGCTCTGGATACGCTTGGTTGGATGATGCGTAGTCTGGAAAATATAGTCTATATTAACCAGTTTAATACCTATTCTTGAAAGCCAATATATTAGCAGAAAAAGTGCAATATCATTGAAGGTGTTCTTGGAGAAGTTAGTGCTAGAATGAATGTACGACTTTTTAAGCAATGAAGAAAATAATCACTATGAACAATTTACTTCACATAAAAATTACACTTAGATGTATTACTGACCTAATCTTTATTTTTCAGTTAAGGGTGCAATCACTCTTTATTGTTTGTAAACTGATTTTAAAGGGTACAAGAGTATGAAATTATAACATGCACAAAATCATTTTATTTCTTTTTAAAATGTGCTCACCATTTTTATAAGATAAGAATTATTTTCTTTTACCTGCCCTGAGCTATGGACTCTTTAATATACTATACGAGCATTGTAGGAATGCTTTAAACAGAATCAGGTCAGAAAAACAGGGTAGATGTGAAGCTGTGGCTGCACTAAACCCATACGTTAAGGTTATGCATTGTTATTTTCTGTGACACCAATCTTTGCAACAAGTTTATCACTGACATTCATATGCATTTACTGCAAGCACATGGCCCAGTTTTCTCAGTTGTCAGTTTAATATAGATATCCCAAACAATGGCAAAATAAAATTATTTATAATGACTCCCATCTGTCCCATACAATTATTTTATGATCTCTCTGCTTGCTTCCATCATGACCACATCACCTTTGGGGAGTGTCAGTGGGATATCTCTTATGCAGGGCTGAATAATTTCATATAAGCAACAGATTTGTGTATATTTTCCCTACTTATAATGACACTCTATTCAGACAGTAAAACCTCACAGACTCTTTTTAGGCAAACCTGCTTCTCAAGCTGAGGAGTGAAACCCACAACTGAGTAAATATTTTATTTTCATATATCACCCCTAGCACCACTATAATACAAACTTTTCAGAGTAAACAGCTTCAGCAATTGCAATTGTGATACGTGAATGGGTGCCTTGCCTTTGAAGTCAGCTTGTGCAGTGCAGAATCGAAAGTAAACAGTGAAACCTAAAGTGCTTTGGGTTTTTCCAGTCCCTGCAATTTTGGTTTGACAACCCTGACTGAGCAGCAACCAGAGACAGCCTTCTCTGGGCACAGAGCCCTAATGGGGACAGTAGCCTCTCAGATATGTGACACCGTTTTATGAAGGAGTTGTTTGGTGATCTTATATTTAATGTAAAAAAAACAAAAACAAAAACAAAAAACAACAAAAAAAAAAAGCCCAGTTTTTACTTTCAGAATTGGAAATAATAAAATCCCAGACACAGAGTTTAAATTCATGCAAACATTGTGGTTTAATCACTAAAATCTGTGACACTTGGATAAATACCTGAATTTTCTGTGCTGGTGGAATATCTGATTTTTGTTCCCTTCCCTTCCCTTCCCTTCCCTTCCCTTCCCTTCCCTTCCCTTCCCTTCCCCTTTTTCCCTATAGCTTCTTGCTTGTGCCTTGAACTTGAGTCGTTGATGACCTCCCAGCACCTGGGAAAGCTGCACTGCAACCCTATGGATGTCCACCTTGCACAGGGGACAGGGGATGGTGCAGGAGCTGCGATACAGGAAGTTTGTGCCCCAGTGGGTGCCATTGGTGAAACTGGTTTTGAGGATTGCCATTGGTTTGAACAAGAGACATCAGAGCACATGGTGCCCCACTGGAAGACAGTTGGAGTTGCAACACTGCAAGAGCAGAATCAGCCTGATTCTCAGAGATTCACCACAGTACATGAAACATAAAAACAGCCCAGCACGCAATGACTAAACCTTTAATTACCTCTCCTGAATGATGGAGAGAGGCTACAATCTGATAAATGTGTTTAATTGCTGGCAATTACAAAAAAAAAAAAAAAGACAATCTTTTTGAAATCTTTTTGAAATACATCAGGTATTTTGAAACATCATTTCAACATGGTAATGACAACTGTGCTACTGTTAGGAAGCGGATGACAGGAAATTTCTTCCATTAAATTTAGTGGAGCAGGATTAGGCTCAGTGTTGCAAGGAATGGACACCTGCAGCAAAATCATGATTGGTGTGAGCCTCATGCTTGGAGGTGTTCAGTTCACCCCTCTCTTTTGGAAAGGATAACTCTGCAAGATGTTGATGTTCTTTTGAAATGATTGAGCTACTCCATGTCATTTGTGGTGCATGTTTAAGGACAGGAGGAGCCCCATCCACTATCTGCAGAATTTCTCATAGGTGAGCAAATACTCAAAACTGATATCTCTGCTTAATTTTGTATGAGACAGCTCATGAAAGTCTGTTTATGGGAACTGTTGAGTCATGGCCTGAACTACTGATTGATCACCTGAGGCAAGGACTGAATTAGCCCTGGGAGCACAGGTGAAGGCAATTCTGCTGTGTGACCCAGAAGGGGTGGAGTCTGGCTGCACCTCTCTTAGACCACATTTAAGGGCTGACTGCCACTGGGGAGGTTCTTTTTCTGGAGATTCCTCCTGTTGGAGTTTTCTACTGTGAGCCTAGGATGTGGGTGAGCACTTCGTTTTTTATTGTCTCTTTCTGCCATGATTATCTTTCTAGCTATAAACATGTAAAATATCATCCTAACCACGTCCCTCTTCTAACTGTACATTTGTTAATTGTACGGTTTGTTCCTTAGTGATGGTTGGAATTGGTGGTCTTGAAGGTCTTTTTCAATCTAGGTGATTCTGTGATTTTATGAAAATATTCTGTGTTGTTGGCAGAACTTGAAAAAGGTCTTCGCTAATTTCTGCATGGTGGTGTTTCCTTTAAACCTGTCAAAGCAGAAAAAAAACCCCAAACCCTTAGCTGATTTAAATCATGCTGCCAAGCTGTTGGTTTAGTGTCCCATAATCCTGATTGGTTATGTAACCTACTGAAATCTCCCAGCATGCTGTCCAAAAGTGCAGCTAATTTTAAAAGATCGCTGAAATGTCCAGGGATTTACAGAAGGGGAGAAGAAGCCTTGGTGAGTGCTGTGACTTCAGGCTGCATTCAAGAGGAGAGGTCTGTTAGGAACTCAAGCAGTTCCATGCCTGATTATGTGAAAAATAGATGTAGTAACAGACATGTAATCAGTCTGTCTTAGGTGTTTTCTATATCTCAGTGCTCAAGCATCATCTGAGAACCTCATCATCTCCTATATATTTAGTATTTCAATGAAGTGGGAAAGCACTGTTATCTCCAGATGAGGACGGGGAAAAAGGTTCTCAAACAATGAATTTGCAGGTGGGGAGGAAAGGCACGGAAAGAATAAGTCAGGCAGGAGAAAGAAGTGAATCCAGGTGTTCCTGCTCTCTCACTTCTCCCTCTCCTTGCTGCTATCAGTCAGCTAGGAGGTGAAATTCACCCAGCACCAAAGCTCTGCACCCCCAGGGCTCTTTGGGAATTCAGAGCCTGATGGTAGTCCAGCATTGCTTCCTTTTTCCTTAGGTCACCTTTGGCAAGCATGTGATGTTTGGGCAAGATCTTTTTGGATGTTGTGTCACATGAAGGATGAGACAGACCCTGTTCTCAGATGCAATTAGATGCTCCATCCCAGGTGGAGCTAGGTGGGTTATTTGGTTTCTAGCAATGTTCACTTGGTTGTGGAGGTTGCCAAGTCTTTAAAATCTACAAACGGTGCCATGTTGGTGGCTGGGTACAGTTACTAGGAGAGTGATGCTGAAAGCTTGGGTGGTTGAGATGTTTTGTGCCAGATGTTGCATTAGAGGGTCTGCAAAACCCTCAGCAAGTGGATAAAAGAGACTGTGGTTGACGAGATGACTTTGTTTTATATATTTTGTTCTATAATGAAATAAAGCTGAAAGCCTGAGGAGAATGGAGTTGAAACCTTCAAGGAGAGCTTGTCTCTGGGCATGAGCCATGGTGATATTGGCTGCTACAGGTTTGGCTTTGGCTGCTCTTGTACCAGGAAAAGCTGAGAGTTTGGAGTGGTGGGATTTCTTTTTGCCAACTGATACTTCCATCTGGGAGGTCTATACCAAGCAAGTGCAGCAAGAAAACGAAAACCATAAACAAGTAGACTTGTATCTCTGTGCTTTAGAGAGTTCTCATCTACCTGCTTGGCTTTTGCTTTACTTTTTTTTTTTTTTTTCCAAAAAGTGATTTTTGTGGGGTACCTGTGTGCCTGTGTCACTTCGAGGTCTTTATTAGAAACATCAGCCAACAGTCAAACTGTCGGTGCCCTTCCTTGACACAACGCATACAGCTGTTTCATTTATTCTGGGGCTACCCTTATGTGCCTATTTAGTCAATGGTGTGTTTGTTATTGACTTTGTTAAGAGAGGTACCACTATTCCTTCTTTTCCATCGCATACATCTGGGTGTAGGTATGTATGTGCTCTATAAGCTGCCTCAGCTCACAAGGTCATGAGAGAAGCGATGAAAAGTAACTTCAGAATGAGGGATGATCTTTTTTTTCAAATTACATTTGATTTCATTTGATTTCTTTTACTTTTTTTTTTTTTACAAGTTGCCACAGATTACTTCTGGAGTCTTTCTTATTATATACAATAATAAATATTTACCTGACATCAGCCGTGCCACACACTATACTGTAACCCATGCAGTAGAAATATCAAGTGTCTTGGATTTAACCACAGTTAACTCTATATCCATGAGATATTTTTATTTCCCTACATGCTGTGGAAGGTCTTGTATTTCTTTTAGGACCATAATGGAAAGAACAGATTCACAGCTTTGGAATTCATTCTCTCTTGATCTGAAACTGCCTGAATTTCATGACATTCAGACATGCAGAAAGTTCACCTTTTTTCCCCCAGGCATTTGAGAATGACGAATAACTGTGGTGGTGGTGGGGAAATCAATTTTTACTGTTATTATTATTACCTGTCTTACCAGTAATGGTTTATATTAAATTCTGCTGCTTTTCTTAAGTTATTACTTGAGATTAAGGCTGTGGGGGGAAAAACATGTCTGAAAATATGGTTTAGATAGAACCAAAAGCATTTAAATGAAAACCAAGTAATACTAATACTGGTCAAAGAAAACTTTTTACTACACTAGTAACAAATTAGTTTCCTCCCATGATGGGCATATGTAATGAAAGTAAAACAATGCAAACCAAACCCCAGACTTAAACACCTTTCCTTGAATGATGGGGCAATAATGTCTTCTGCTGTTGAAACAGTCCAGCTCACCAACCATGCATTCTGCAAAATTAGGTCACAAAGATGTGGATGGAAGGATGGATGGGAGTCCTTGCTACCTCTGCTCATGTTAAGTTTTTCCCCTCAAAAGAGATTTGGACAAATTTTAGGCTGATTGGTAGGTAAGCTGCCTATTAATTAGAGCATTTATAAGAAAACAATCAGAATTTTAAGGTGATTCATCTTTAAATAGCAAAATGATTAGGTCCATATGGTTGGGTGTTGCCACTAAGTTTCATATAAATCAAATAAAAACATACAGCTGTGTTCAGAAGCTATCATTAATACTGCAGTGATGGTAAAGAAGCCCTAGTTATAGATAGAAACCCATTATGCTCTGCACTGTGCAACTACAGAACGAAGATTCAGTTTCTGCCCTTAGATGCTTGTAGTCTGAGACAAAAATATCAAGTAGTCTTACCAGATAGACAGGGAAACACAAGGAAATAATTAGCTAAGAGCAATCAGAATTTAAAAAGTCATTGCACTTACTATCAGGTGTTTTCCTATTGCTATCAGAGGAATGGAGGTGTTTTTGGAGGCATTTGAGAGAGAACAATGATCTGGGTTTGCTGATATTTATGGGAGCTTCTTCCATGCGTGAAGGCTGGCATGGGAGAAAGGGCAAAGGTGCTCCCTGGTAAACATAACAAATGGGTGATGATGGCAGGCATCGCTGCCTGATCAGCAGAGGGAGTTGACATGTTGATAAAACAGAAAAAAATGATAGGCGGAGTGTGGACAGGTCATGAAGGGCCCTTAGAGTGAAGATGAATAGTGTATGCTTGATGCAGTGCCAAGTTCATGGATGATTCACTGTTCTTTTTTGAAAGTCTAAATTTCCACATTATTTTTACGTGATTAATGTTATTGAGTACTTTTGACTTGTTTTCTCATAATAACAAACATTCCATTCATTTTACAAGGAATCTATTCAATGAAATTGATGGATTCATGGAGCTCAATGAAGCTGATGTCATGACATGTTGGTACATTACTATCAGTTACAACAGTTCAGTGCACAGTAAAGGTCAATTAAATAAATTGCAATAAATTGATATAAATTGCTTGATTGTTTCTAGGTAAAAAGCATCAGGCAGATTGGGACAGTCTTGAGACAGGCAGTATTAATTGCCTGGAGAAAGTATTAAAAGCTATAGTTAAATATTGAATGCTGCCCAAATGTAACATCTGCTAGCAAAGTTGTTTGTGTGGATGTGTCTAGCTTTTTATCTTGTGATTATACATAGTGATTTCTTTTAATGCCTTTCCAAAAACTGAAGTTTGGAGTAGGGCAACTGATCCCAAGGTGCGTTTTCAGTGATAATGAATACACTGAAGAAAACACTAGGTATGCTTTATCAGTGTTATTTTAGCTGTTCACCTCCCTTCATTGTGGAAGCATGGGCAGATATCCACATAACAAAATGATCTTCTTCCCATGCAGTGCTTGAGAGCATTCGAAGTAGCTAGTCACATTATGCCTGCATAATTCTACAGAATAACTGTACTTCCAACCTCTCTTCAGACCCTCTTTGCAACCTGAGTTGTCTCTAGCCTATCTATATTCACAGATCCTCAAGCAATGTATCTTTGGCAGAAGCATCTCATTGGTACCCAATAACAAAGCATCTAAAAATCTCAGTTTGATCGTGTAGGATTTACCTCCTTGTATAAGCAGCAGACAACATTCATAAAGAAACAACTTAACAAATGGGTGACTTCCCTTTTTTAAGAATAGTGGAGCTTTGGCTTCCTAGAGCAATCTTTTAAACATCCTACTTCTGTTCCAACTGCTGATAAAGTCAAAGAAAATGTTAAATGTCTTCATCTGTGCAGGATGAAGCCTGTAATCCTGAATGAAAACTTATGCAAATCTTGGTGAAAATGCGCTTGCCAGCATTTTCATTGCATTTGCTTTGTTCAGGGCACTGCAATCAACTGGAATTCATCCATGAGCTGTGCTTATTAGAAGAATGGGTAAAACATGTCTGTGAAGAGAAATTGGATAGTGGGTCACTGAAGTGCTGTATCTGTGCATGTATATTACATGAAAAATCTTCATGTCATTCATTCTCATCCAAAATGCCTGTAGACCTTTAGCTGTACTGGGTGCAGACAGCTCAATTCCACTTTCCTACACATCCACAGCATGTGCCTTCCGGCAAGGGAAATCAGGGGCACGGCATATTTGGCAAATCCATGAGAAAGAAATGACAAGATTGTGATGTCCAGAAACAGAGATGGAAAAAAAAAAATGTAGTGGGGAAGGAATGCTCTCTGCTTTAGGAACGTGGATGAATGCAGAACAAAACCAAGCTTTTCCTCTAAAACCAGTGGATTGTCTTCAGCTACTACTGTAAGTGGTGGAATGCCACTGATTTACTTAGAGCTAAGGTGTAGAGCCTTTTGGAGAGGTGAATTCATGCCCCTTCCTCGAAAACAAAATATAAAGACCAGAGAGAAGACACCCAGATTCAACAGTTTTGGCATAAACTTTCTGGATAACCGCACCATTGCAGAAGTGGGGAACTGTTTTTGAAGTATTTCAACACTGAAAGTGTGTAAAGTGGGTGTCTTTTTTTTTAATATTTGCTTTTAGAGGGACTTATATATAATTCCTTTTAAATTACTGTGCCTATGGAAACTTCCATGATAAGACACATAAATTAGACTGTTATACTGTACTGAAAGTGGAAATATGAAGCTATATAGGCTAGCTGATATCTTCTAATAGAGGTTGGTTTCACTATCTAAGTGAATGTATTGACTGCATTTCAGCACAGAAGTGCTGCTCTTTGCTTAATGTTCGTCTCCGACTAAATCCCTGGATCTTAATGCTCCCTGTATTTCTAGGTATGGTTTCTACTATGTAGTATCTGACATTTATCCCTTTATTTTTAGACAAATGAAGGCTGAACGTTAAATGCAAGATGTTAAGAAATGGGGAGGGCCTAAAGTTAGTTTTTTGAGTGTATATATGTATAGCCTTATACAGAAGAGCTGGATGTTACGTGATGCCTTTAGATACTGGGGAACTGGTTCACTTTGTTGTTAAAATATGCACAAAAAACGATCAATACTGGCAACTGAATGGTTCACCTGCATTAAAATGAATGTTTCCAATCTAAGTTCTGTCCATCTGCAAGACATTTTGACGCCTTTTCTTTCTGTAAGATTTCAATGTAATTATATATTCACGTCCAATGGGCCACTGCCAGGTTTAATATCTGACCAGCCTCAGCTGAGTCTTCATAAAACACAGCTAGAGATCAGCACGAGTATGAAGGAAGGAAGAATACTTAATAAAGAACGAAAAATAGTAGAGGATTTTGAAGGCCACAGATGTCCATTCTCATGCAAAGTGGAACCAGTTTTGA